GAGATTCTTGCTCAAATCTGAGAAACAATTTCCCGTCTCCGTGAAATCTATATCCCGCTTTCTACAGTCACGACATGGCTATCGTAAATCTTTTGAGGGATCAAGCACTGCATCAGCAGCCTGACCGATAACGGCAGCACACTTCTCATGTCAAAAACGATTACACAGCCAACACGAGATGAATCGTGCACATCCAAGGCATGTCTTCGCACAACATGGTGTAAATAAACAATCCATATCCAGTGGAAACAACAAAAGGAGCTTATGAAAAAAAAAGAATAAAAAACTAAAAGATTTCACGACAAAAATTTTTAGCAAATTAAAGCAAAGTTCCCATTTTGGTTGGTTTTATAATATTTCAAATATATTAAATATTTGCTTCGTTCCCAAACTGTAGTCAAGCCCTGTCCCTCTCTTCCTAAATTTCGAGGTAATGTCACGTGATGTGATGTAATATGAAGAAAAAATTCCTTGCGAAAAACGTTTAACTTTCCTGCTCAAACTGGACTTAACTAGAGGCAGGCCGTTTGAAATTTGCGTATGATATAAAAGTAATAGCGCAGAAACACCATATATGCAATACCCCAACGTTAAAGTTTTCGGAATATATGAATGTCAATACGCAATATAAGTAGCAGAACATTATGACATATAACTTATACCTTAGATAATTAACAAATCCACAAAATTATGTCGATAAGGAGACCATGGTTTACCGTACATGCTAATTGCTGGGCCTTGCAATAAGGTTCTTATTAAACAAAAACCGATTGGCTACTAATTGAAACTGTGTTGTGTACTCAATTTAAACGATGCGTCTAAACTGAGGATGCATATAATAAAAACGGCCACAAAAATATAAAAACAAGCACATTCTTTCCGCCGATAAAAATTTTGAATATTGAAGACTAAAACCTAAAACTAACTTAAATTAGTTAAAAATTAATCCAAAAATATCATATTGTAGTGTGATCGCATACCGTCATTACAGAATTATGCAAATTCAGCATAATTCTGTAGCAAAAAAAAAAAAGAAAAAATTTTGTCGCACTATTAAACTGTAAGGAAGCGTTTTGCTTCCTTACGAGTGACCGCTTAAAGGTCTACCCGTAGACCCTAGAAACTTTCAGTCTAGTCCCTCCGTCCGCGCGAAAGGAAAAAAAAGGAACACCGCTGGGCAGGGCACACGTTCATCCGCCTCTGGCCTTAAGGTAAGGAACCGCTAACCGCATAAACGGCAAAACTTAAACAGTTCACAAAGATTGTATAAATACACATACATGAGTATAAAAGATATAAAATCTGTATAAAATCATTACACACACACGAGTATAAAATATGCATACAACCTGTACAAAATCTGTATAAAATTATTACAATATATGAACACACACACGAGTATAAAATATGTATAGAATCTGTACAAAATCTGTATAAAATCATTATAATAAATGAACACCCACACGAGTGTGAAATATGTAGAGAAGGGTCAAAATGTATAAAATCCGTAGGATTACAATATAGGAATACATATACGAGTATAGCAATTGCTAAACGGCATAAGCACCGTTAGGCCATACAAAAACATATAACTAGGGATAACACTTAGGTATAAAAATGTAAAAGCACACATGATCATGTGACAACGCAGCAACTGTATGAATATTCACGAGCATAGAAATATGTAGAAAAATATACGAGAATGTATAAACGCCGTTAGGTCATGCAAAGCTTACGCCTTACACAAAGATTGTGGAAACGCATAAAAAATGTATAAACGCCGTTAGGCCATGCAAACATACACACAGGGATAAACATTTAGGGAAAAAATACATAAGCACACACGATCAACGCACCAACGCTCAAAATGTATGAGCACATGCGATCATAGAAAACGCATAAACTGTAGAAACAATGTATAAACGCCGTTAGGCCATGCAAACATATACGCAGGTATAAACTCGTAAGCAAAAAAATGTATAGAGATGTAGGAGCACACATACCAAGCATATAAACACACACGTATAAACATGTACAAACACACATAAACAGGAAAAATACACTTACTCTATATAAATGGTCTAACACTATAGAAACGTATGCGAAGTATTGTATAGGTTGAGAAACATACAAGGGGAAAAAACCCGTGTCCAAGAACAATATTGGAAACACTGCACTCACGTACCTAACGGGGGGTTAATCACGCGATTTGGTACCTGGGTGCATGTTGAGTAGGAATTCGATCAAACATATTATTAAGATAGTTGGCATTAAGTTATGTATAAGTATTTCAGTCAAGTCGCAAGTAAGGTTGCGTCAAACCCGTCGAAGCCGACCTAAGTTAAGCCTCCATATAAGTATGGTGCCGCAATGCACATACAGAACATGTTTGTAATGGAACAAGCGAGCGAGACTTCGGCTATAAAAGAGCGGCGCATCACACAGAATCTTTCAATTGTGTCATAGCCGCCTAAGGTAAGTGTACCCGGCCAATGGGACAAGTTAACGTTTTTGAATAGCTTTTTTGTTTGACTTTACGGATAGGGGATGTGCTGGCTTAGCTGTTAGTCGCCATCCCTGAAGGATTTTTAAGACTACCGACTTTACGGATAGGGGATGTGCTGGTTTAGCTGTTAGTCGCCATCCCTGAAGGACCTTGAGGACTACTGACTTACGGATAGGGGATGTGCTGGCTTAGCTGTTATTCGCCATCCCTGAAAGACGGAGGATCATTTTTTTTGCACATACGAATAGCTGACCAGAGACAAACCGTGGGTCCATGAAGCCAAGGCAGCTATTACACGAGCAACGCATCCGTTGTTTTTTTTTTTTTGTAGTAAACCGCGATCTCTAACGACGTGTGCAAAAAACCGGTCATAGACGCCTCAAGTGAGCCATAACCGCCTAGGTAATCCGCGATCGTACGAGAAAAGTAAAAAAACCCCCAACCCCGTGAGCATCGAACCCGTCGCACACGCTCCAATTGAGCGATGACCGCCTAGGTAATCCGCGATAGTACGAGAAAAGGGAAAAACCCTCTAGCCACGTGTGCGCCAAATCGCTCGTCGGGTCACCTCGCTGGTTCCTTGCCAACCCTCCGAAGCTCCGGAACATTTTGTTTCATATAAATTGTCTTGCCACGAACCTTGGAGTGGCTGAGTTTCTACTCTGTCCAAGAAGACTCGTTACAAAGCAATTATAATTTTGTTTAGGTAAGCATAATTTAATAGAGAAATTAAGTATAAATAGTGCACCTTTTCAATAAAGAACTCAATTGTTATCAAACAATTCAACTTAGCGTTTAATTCACTGAAAATTGCAAGGCGTTCAATCCGCCTGAACCACAAAGATTAGGGACCGTCTCATGCCGAGCTATATTGGCAATCTGTGAGGCGGAAAGACTTGGCGCACTGAAGCCGAGCAGCTTAGGGCTAATTTCTTTTCCTAACACGATTCTACCAAATTCTGATCTTGCCAACATGCGAAGTATTTAATATTACACGCATTCTATAACACTCGCCCACACAATGATCCCACTCGAGGACGGCACTCAAGCTTTCGAGGCAGAACACGGCACATTCCTCTTCACCCCCTTGGACTTCGAACACGCCTATCCACTATTTTTTGGCGACGACGTCAACACCATTTGTTACCAGGACGTCATCAAGGAACGCATACATAGACAGCAGTTCCGTGCCAATCAAATCATAAGCAGCATTCACCCTACCCGCAATTAGGAAACATATCAAAAAAAATAAAAATAAAAATAACATGAACAAAAAAAAAAAGATGTATGTATGAAAAATATACAAAATATGTTAACATTAAGAAGATCAGACAGATACGTAGAATATTAAAATATACAAAGTAAATAGGTCTTACTAACCCCAAAAAAAAAATAATAAAAATAATAACAAACAAGAACTAAAATAAAACACATAAACAAACTATTATATTTGAAATAAGGGGCATATCTTTTCCTGTTACATTGATGGATTCCAAAGACTGTACAACCAGAATTAACCTAATTGGGGCACCTAATAACGATCCCACCCAACTAAAAGCCAATCGCTATGATCATCTCCTCAAAACTTGTATTTTAACACGGTAAAGTCACTGCTACACAAGATGCAATGTACCGACGAGAAATCCTCTCTCAACAACATTTACTAATGATTCCTCTAAATAATAGACAAACTTAATGTGCAAAGGAGTTTAAAAGGACAATTGAATATCCAGACTACTGCGGTACGCTCTCGGAAAGTATAAGAAGAATATATGAAGTATAGAAAGAATATTAAAGATTATTAATGAATATATGAAGAATATTAAAATGAAAAAGAAGAATATACCAAGAATAGAAAGAAGAAGAATACATAAAGTGTGCAGAATAACAAAAAAAAATATTAAAGTGTAGATGAAGAACACGTTGAAATGAGGAATAGTGAAAAGGGTAAATAAGGGGTTATAACGACATAAATGAGGAATAGCAAAGACATTGCATTAAATCCACCCAATAACAACAAACATATGAAGATTATTCAAGAATATTGAAATATTGGAACAACAACAAATAAAGGGGATATAACTATAGCAGAGACATTGTATTAAACCCACCCAATGACGACAAATATATGAAGATTATTTAAGAAAATATTAAAATCAAGAAGATTAACTTTGTAATGAGACATATTGGAAAGACAATTATATTTGAACATTAAATAAAGGGGTGTCACGGGTCTAGCTCCGCTGCCGGATGCTTAGATTTCTGAGCCACATGACAAAGAAAGAGAAAAAAAACACACAAAAGGAGAAAACGTTTTACGTCGGTAGCCTGTCGTTCGTCCGTCTAGAGTGAGTTCGTCTGTAACCGTCCTACGTCCCCCTACGGCTCACCCACGCGTACGTCGCACTCCTACTACAGCAGTGGCATGTTCGGCCTTAGCCGCTCATTATGGCTCACAGGAAGCTCGGGACACAAAAAAAGGAAAGGTAAATACCTGACTAACATGCGTTGTCTCTTCCAAATGACGTCGTGCTCCCTTCTGTAGTGCTGACGGCATCTGTGATGGTCGCTGTTGATATCTGCTGTTCGCTGTTGATGAGATGTGGCGTATATCTGATGATGAAGAGGATGATGAAACTTGAGAACACAATTTTATTCGTGGTTATCCCGTGGCAAAATTACAAATTTTCAAACAGCATCAATGGCAAGCCACATGTAGGTAATTTTTATCTTGAGGCTATGCGTACAAAAATCACCACTTCCATCAATCAAGTGAATCCAACAGGGTTCTTTTCCACCTTTTCTTTGAGCGAAAGTTTACCATTTTCTAAACGAAGTCATCTGATGTCACAAAAAAACACACTTCCCAGCCTTCAAATGTTCTTCACCGTTTTTATTTTCCTTTTTGTTTTGAATGGTTTTTATATAAAACCAAAAAAAACAAAGTTATTAAATTTTTCTAATTTATAATTTCGTTTTTTTTTTTGCAGTGCCGATATTGGTTAAGTTTTTGTTAATTTTGTTTTCTTTATTCTTTCAATTGCTTTCAATTGTTTACATTTTCGTTGCTTTCGATTTCTTCTAGGCTTGTTTATAAAATACAATGTTTGAATCTTTTTTGATAATTATTCGTATGCATGGGTTTTAGGTATGTAAAAAAAATGTATGTCTAGAGTTTGACTTTTGCTAGTAAAGTTCTTTTCTTGAATAAATCTTCACAAGTACGTATGTGCAATTGAAGACAATGAAAAGTTTCCTTTGCTTTACATTGAAATCGAAAAAAAACAAGGCGAGAGTCTCCGTCACATTAAATCGTAGTTCTTCAACGTTTTTTTGCTTCTATTTCATTATCATTGCATTATTTGCTCAATGAAGGCAAAGTAAAGAAAATAAACAACACATACTCTTTAATATCACCTTTTTTTCAGAAAAAACAAAGCAAAATAATCCAGAAAAAAACTTCTCGTCTCATGTTTAAATTTCTCTAACTTAACTGATGCAGGCAGGTTGGCTGCCAATTTAATGTTAATATCTCTTTATAATAATTCTCTTTCTTTTTAAATATTGTAATATTAACAATTTAATCCTCATGTACATTATTTCGCAAAAGCTATCGTAATAAGAAGTTCACGTATTCCTTATGCAAAATTTCCATCATTTTAGATTATTTACAGAGACATATTTTTGTTTTATTTATTTTTATTTTTTTTTTTTTTTGCTTTCGTACGCATTCCGTCAATGATATTTAAAAAAATATATTCATACGCGAATGCGATGCGCTTTGCTTGGTACATTTAACCCACACACTCAACTCTTCACTTCACTCCTCTAAACTCAATTCAATCACATTATTAACTTATTCTTCCGTAGAGATATGTCTATAGAAATTAAATAAAATTTCTCCGCAGTTTTACGTTGTGCGATCACAACCAATTCAATTCTCGGGTCAAACTCAACTGACTCATATTATTCGCATGATTTTTCTCTTTTCCTTTTTTTTTCTTCTCTATGTTGCTGTATAGCGGCTAGCCGCTACTCTTGCAAAAAAAGGAAATTTACCGCAAAATCATGCGATTTTGCATAACAAGATGCCGTTACTGCAATCTTTTCGGCTGACACGGACCGACCGACATCCTACCCTGAGCTTGTTCGCGGACGCTACAGGGCATATAACTACACAAGGCAAGCCTCAACCTAAACTAAACACACCCAAATACAACTTCCTATCTAGCTAAGATTCAAAAGCAAAACAATTAACAATACAAATAAAATATATGTCAAACACTATAAAAATCTAGTAAGCTAAATTTAAGAAATGAAAAATTATAAACCAAAAAGACTGTACACAAAACTATATGTAAATATAAACTAAACTTCTTCACAATATAACAAAATTTTGATTCATATCGGCAATTGCTTCTGTTAAATGTGTAAAATATGAGGATTGAAAATCATGTCAAACGAAGTACAATGTAGACAAAATAGAAGAAAAATTAAGTAAATGGTGACACACTTTGAATAGACTGATTTGCAACTGTCATTTATTGTCAGTAATTAAAAGCACTGCATAAATGAACAGACAGATAAACACGTATAATATATTGAATGAGTAAAAAGCACTAAAAAATATGTTGAAGGAAATGAAATATATGTTAAATCTAAACATCTAAATAGCAGCAAAATAAAATGAGTAAAAGCAGAATTCTCTAAAGAGGACACTAATCGGATAAAGAAAAACTATTCAAATTACGTAATTACACTTGCAAAGTCAAAAACGAGAATAAAAGACGAGTTGAAGATTGCGTGTATTTATGATCGTTATTATTTTGCAAGACAATAAATGGTACAGTTTTCTTTGTTGAAATGACCGAAATCCCCGATGATTGAGAAACGAATGCATGTGCAACTATGTCAACAAGATACTACTATTATAGTATGCATATGTATATAGTTTAGCAAGAAATAGACAACTTATATCTAACTCAAACTAACTAACGACTATGTGTATATTATCAATTTAATATTTTAAGTATTGCGTCTGCATAAACCAAACGCAACTGATAGTTGGCAAAGCCTTGACTTTTGACCAGGAGACTGTACCAATGTAGTTTCGCTACTTCCGACTTAATAATTCGTGAGGTTGGTGTGGTGGTGGTTACTCTTCGCCTACTTATGAACTGACACAGTAGCGTAATTGCATACTGAAACCTTTTACGGGAATGCACGACTATCGCTTTAGTAAATAAGCAAAATTTGATAATATGATGGGATGTCAAGCATCAAAATCACCGTTTGAGTTTTTAAGCCTCCCACCAATATGAATTAGATTTGTTGAATCGATAAATGTTGCTAATGAGTAATGCTTATTTACAGATGAAATCGTTCCATTTGCCCTTAGAGCCTTATACTCTGCAAAATGTATCTGCTGTATGTTGCCAGTTAATAGGTTCGTATCGAATTGCAAGTTAAATAGCGTAAGAAGGTTTGATTTTGTTGTTTAATGCAAACTTCTTTTTCTTGAAAACCGTGAACGCGTAAGGAACGCACTATCGTTCTAAATGAATTACGCTACTTGCTGTTCTCCGACCAATCGTGCAGTGGAGTAGCTGATAATATTGTACGCTATCTCTCCGGTAGAACAGTTAGAAAGCATAGATTCTTTTGTCAATCAACTAAATCCTTTCTTAGAAAATATGCACAATTTTCCAAATTTTCGAATAAAGTGATCTTCGGAAGATTTAAATTGGTTGAAACAAAATGTCAGGTTATTTTCTGGCAAGCAATTGGATTCGACTTATTCTATTAATTACGAAAATTCTAAAGTCACGTGATTGCTCACGAAAACATGATAAAACGACCATCGAATTCGAGCAGCAACAAGTTTTATGTTTATTTGGTAATGAAGTGATAACGATGTTTAGAAGTTCCGATGACAGTAAAGCTGCTCACACCTCTAGTTTGGAGACCGGTCATGGAGTACATGTCATATTTCTTAAAAATATTTTATGACTGATTTAGTGTTTTGGGTATACGGAGCGGACCGGTTTTTGGCGCATTTCGAGACGATGTCCCCATCCCAGGATAATGAAATTAGGTTTTTCTGACAGGTTTTAGCGTCCTTTAAGGCATATCAAAAAACTGTAGTCTAAAAGTGGTTATAACACGATTTTAACATTGCATTCTTTCAGTATTTGTAACGTACTTTTGCATGAGATTTACTAGCAATAGCTAAGCATTTTTGGTTTTGCGTTCGTAATTAGCGACTCGTTTTATATGTGCACGTTCGCTAAGATTATTTAATTTTAATACTTTTTTTACTTTATTGTTATTCATTTCGCAATAAATTGTAACTTAGCAAAAACATTTTTAGTAAAGACACGAACCACAAAATGCGAGTTATCTTGCGCGGCTATCTTCACTTCAGTAATTTTTCGATATATTCCAGCTGTTTACATTAGAGTTGATACATAGCATATAAGTTTTAATAGCTGGCACGATGGCAGCTGATATTGAAGTGCAGTACACTCTATATTTCGGTTGCAGGGACATATCCATGAATTTAACTGCAACAAAAGACAATTTCCTATGCCAGAAATGGTAACAGATGGATATTTGTTCTTTTGCTGAAGTTGAATTGTGATCGAATAATTGAAATTTTGAATCTAAAATGGCAAAATAAGATAAGAGAGAAAGAGAGGACCATAACGATTTTTCAGTAACATTGTAGCTGTAGTCAATCACACACTGATAATGGCTAAATAAGTGGAGATTACGAAGCTGTTGAAGTAGCATGCTGCTCGGCAGGCGAAGGCAAGCGGACTCAACGACAGCATTATAGATGTGCAGTAATGAATTTTGCTTTGCTTGGCAATGATCAAATTTATAGTCTTTCATTGCGCGCTCTTTCCTTAAACAGTTGATACATAATTTCATTCTTTTTGTCTTCCCACGACGTTGTGATTGGTGCCGCGCACGGAAAACAGTTTATTAAAAATTATTTCTAAACTTCAACAGTACCATTCGCGCAACGCATAAAGTTGGCTTCGCGAGAATCGTCGCTTACAAGGCAATGTTCAAAAAGTAGATTTAGAAAATAAGGAATGATAGTCTCCAGCTTGAGTCCGAAAGATGTTCATTTCTTGATTGATTGTTTTGTTATGTGAATGCTTTTTATATAGCAAAATTAAAGTTAACAAAATGGTTGCGTTCGCATTAAATGAGAATAATGTAAGAGCCGATAGCCTGTGTTGCTAGTGCTCAATGTCGTTTTTTTTAGTCTAAGAATTTATTTCATTAGTCTAAAATTATAATAATAATGACAATAACGTAATTTAAATTATGCCTGCAATAAATGCTGATGCTATTGTCATTAAGATGAAAATGTTTACGCTAGTAGTATAATGTAACTTAAATGTATGCTTTTGGCATAGGAGTAGATAAAGTTTTAAGGTGGAGCTATTATAGTGCACATTCCCTCTTGAGTGATCACGTTAGGTTATGCTTGCAATTATCTGTTTATTCTTGGACAGAATTGTTATTGCAGTGTTTGATTTGCAGTTCAGATTTTCTATGGTCTTGTTAAAATGGTATTCAGGCTCTTTAACCAGACACCGTTGACAAAAAAAAAGACGTGATTTGTTGTTGAAGTGATAATGTCACTTACTTCAATAAACTAAAAAGAAGTGGCTATATTAAAATGATTAGCTTATGAACTATACATGTTTCATGTATTGTGATATTCATAATAAATTGTCTATCAATGTCAATATCGGATGATAGTATCATCTTCAGTAGGAGAAAATGTGCTGATAAGCATAAACAATATCGCAAATTCATAGACTATTTTATTAGCATGAATGGATAAACAGTAATCGCATGTCCCCAAACGCATATGCATGCGAACACCACGGCAAAGGACGAACCTATCGCCAGAATGTGTTATTTGAAACATTAAAAGTAAAAGA